AGGTTTACTTAAGACTATTTTCCTACGCCTTCCTCAAAGCTTAGAAACCGCAAGTTCGCTAAGTCGCTAAGTCACTTGAAACTTTCTTGAATCGTTTCAACTTTCCAACTTTAATGAGATGCAAAGTAAAGTTACTTGAGATTTTACTTAGGCCTTCACACGTATTTTTTGTTAAGTAAAACTTAGCAGCTCTTAAGTCTTACTCAATAACAGCCTAGTGTAAAGACAACCACTATTGTCGCCACTAAAGTGGAACAGTAGGTTATTATTGGTAATAATGACCTCCTGTTCCACCCCAGTGACCTCGTCTTCGATTTTTAGAAATAATAACCTGTTCAAAACAATGGAAAGGTGCATTAATTATCAAGTAAAAGAAATAGACCCGACCATACAGTTTGTATGTCACCATCGCAAATAGAATCGCCAAATTCAGAGGTTCCTAGATTTTTGCAAGTTAACTGCAGATTTTGGGTATCGTAACCCATGATACTAGAGGAATGAATAGAGCATTTTTGCAAGTTAACTGTAGATTTCGCGTATCCACTACCCATGATACTACATGAATGAATGCACAAATACTAAACAAACGTTGAATTACGATAACTGATGTCTTAGAGAATGATATTAACATCACTTGCAGCTTAAAAGTTTTCTTACCTGTCTGATGTTTTTCCTCGTTCTTAATTACTGATATGTCATTAATCAGGGCGCATCTCCGATATCCGGTGTGCGACAAATACAGACTGCAGACTTGCAGACTGGCAGATAAACATTGTTCTAAAGTGCTCTAACCCTAACCCTAACCAAATCCGGCGCCCCAAATCCAGCCAAACAAACAAAAGGTGCACATTTCCCTCCACAAATAAAGTGCTTTCAAGATTTGGTGATCAAAATTAATGCCAAAACGAAGTAGGATTTTAGCGACGTATACTCGAGGCCAGTCTTCGTTAGCGGCATATGTTACATCAAAATAAATGAAATATCGAGAAAATTGAAGAGAATCGAAAGAAATACATGTGATAATTATGTTAAATAAATGATGGAACACGTGGGAAAAAACTCATTTCCGCTGGATATATTTCGTGGTATTTTCCACTGACAAAAAACTGATTTAACATCACGACTTACCTGCAAAAGCTCGGCTTGACAATGCCTAAGTTTGCTGAAGTCCACAACCCGGTAAGGATTTTGTTCAGGAATAATTTGCCACACTCGTTTAGTGCAATGTAAGTTAAATTGGTTTCTTTATGCCGGCGCCGACATTTTCTCGTTAAATTATAGATATGACACTCGCCATCTCAACATTTCACAATCTCAACATTTTGCTCCTCGGCATAGCTTCCGCAAAAGGAATCACCGTCAAATTGAAAGAATATTCAGGGAAATCTTCGCCTAGATTTACTCTCGACACCTATCGACCACTTAAATCTTAAAACTGAAACCAGATACTGAGAGATACTTGTAGAAAGGGTTCATTGATTGTACCCTGGCAGGCGCGAACAAGTATAGGTTATATTAGAAGACCTCCTGGTCAGATTTTTTTTTGTGGCCTAAGCCAGTCATGTGACGACCAACCTACGTGTCTTTGAGTTCATATTCTCTTCCGAGGATGAAAATTTCCTTCAGCACGTTGACAAACCCTGGCTTTATCTATCCTCGGAAAGAAAATTTTAGCCATACAACAATATTTTTAACAGTATTGTAACTCGTTTTCTCTGTTGAGTAATACTACGAATTTGACTCTGAAATAAAATAAATCTCTATTTGCTCTTTTAGCTAGTAATATGGTTCACTTTTTTTTTCATTGTTTTGTTACGCCGCGGAGCCCAATTGCTAACGCAAATTTTACAATAACTGAGAATCATATCTCGTGCGCTGATTGGCTAATTTTTATCATCAATAAGAAGACAGACACAAAATTTTAATTCTCGCACGGACGCGGTCACTTGCCGAACGAATGCCAATCTGCGATGTTTTTCTTTAGTTTAGTTTCGTGGAAGATTCTGTCTACTAAGAAAACTAGCCAGATAGCTCTGATGCAAGACTTGCGTCCTGTTTGAATTCCCTACTAAAAGCTCAAGCGGATGAAACTAAACACCAGAGAGTCATCAGAAAGTCGTCTCGTTCAAACTAGGTTTCCAATTGTTAACCGTTTGAGCTGAGTTTTTGCATGAACTTTGTATTCCAAACAATCGTATGTTTTTTGATTTTTTAATGTTGACGGTTTTTGGCGCGAAAATGGCGTCATAAGACTGACAGTAAAAAATAACTCAGTTTCATCTTCTGCCAGGACAGGTAAGCAATTTTTTTTTGTAAGAATACTCAGAGAAGAACGTAAACGCGAAAAAAGTTTTTGAAAATCTCATTTTATTGCGAAGATATGACATTCTAAGAACCACCAAATTTCTAAAAATTTTAACAAAATGGCGAAAAATACGAAATTGAAAGCTCAATAACTTCTTAACCAATTAAGCTTTACAAATATTTTTTTTCACACTTAGCCTTTCCCTCAAGAGTCATATGCCCTAAAGTTAACTGATTTGTGGATTACAAGTTCTATTGTTGGATATAAATTTTAAATTCATTGACGGGAGCGTCGCTTTTAGCCCTGGCTAAATCTTTATATTTAGTTTTCTTTCGATGGTATAAACAAATTTTTTCGAAAGGACATATAGGGTTCATCACAATATGTTTGAAAATATAATAAATTTAACGGAATGCGAATTGAAATTCATGTGTTAAATTGTTTTGAATAGCCTTTGAAATAAAAAGTTATCACTTGATATTAAAGAAAATGCTATATTTTCCTTTTTGTTTGGTTTGCCATCGCTCGTACGTTTTAAGTAAGAAACAAGTCATGTATATATTTTTTCATTTAACTGCTGGAAGGCATGGGCATATTGCAAATTGGTAATACTGTAGAATTGCTCAGAATTCCCTTTTCACATCAATCATCAGTTGAGTATCAGAATTTGCCCACGTAGACTGAGGATTAGCCAAGAAAAACACACACACAATAAGATTGATGTTGTCTGTAAGGTAATAAAAAAACCTTGCCAAGTGTGTGTGTGTGTGTGTGTGTGTGTGTGCTTTTTTTTAGATAGCCATCGATCAAGACTTTTCAGCTTCTCTCACCGCTTCTTAACGTTTCAGGCAGGTGCTTTAACATTAAGAGAAAACGTTCGGGATGATTTGTCTTTAGCTTAGTTTTAATTTCAACTTTATGGTTATGATAAAGCAAAATCACTTCCAGTCACAAACCTGAAGAATCCCCACCTATCGCGACTGACAACTGACATTCCGTAAGGAAAAGGTAGATTTCAAGTCTGATCCCTGTGAGTCATGTTTATACACTTGTACAGTTTTGTATGTATCAGTAAAGAAGTGGCTTATTTCAAAGCTTTCAGATCTAATCGTGAAAAGAAAGTTTGCAATAAACTAATTTTGTCTTATTAAAGAAAAAGAAGAAAAGAAAAAGAAGAAATTTTTGTCCTCTAAATAAATTTTACTTTCACTGGTCACACACATAAAAAAAAGAGATAATTGGATTTATTTAATGGCGCCCAGAGATCACATGAGAGTACAGCGCATGAGCTGAAGAAGAAGCAATTTTATCATAATTCTCTTTTCGGCTACTGCTCTCTACGATACTTAGGAAGTAGGCACATTATTTCAGCGTTTCTTTTACATTGTTCTTCTATTTGTAGCATGCGCGAAGACACAACTCATATCGTGCAAAAAATCGTTCAGAGTGCAATTTGAATCTCCCTTTTTATAAACCTCGTGTGACGTTTAAAAAACTGTAAAATTTGCATCACAGAGAATTTGTTTTTTTAAATCTTGTACAAAAGCGAGAAACATGACACCATTAAGAAAAATATATGAAAAAATAATAATAATAGTAATAATAATAACAAAAATAACAACAACAACAATAATAATAATAATAATAATAATGGAAAAATATGCATATTAAGAATAGTATAATATGGATGGTGGATCATTCACACTTTGANCCCCCCCCCCCAAACGGTACAAACGATTCTGCCGACGCAAATGGACTTATATTTGAAATCACTAAAAGAAGAAACATTGAATTTCAAATGTATAAATATACACTTTCTTCTTTACCCGATCTAAAACTTTCACCGTCTTTAGTCTGTAAGCATAACATTTCAGCCAATGACTAAAATTTCTAACCGGCTTTTTAAAAGAGGTAGCGAAGGAATGATGATAATGATGATGGAGGTGACGATGGCAATGAGTAAGTAGGCTTCAGTATCCATGTTCAAATAGATAAAGGAAAATCTCTCCTCGTATGTCCATGTCCTCCACAAAACGTTACATTGGGAGGTTTCACGTCGTAGTCGTGCAGTGAACGTCAAAGAAATGTATTAAAAAGCATGACGCACCTGCAGAGCTGTTGTTTTGCTCATAAAACCAATTGTTTTTGACGTTGTTGTTGTCGTCGTAGTTGCTTAAGGTCCCCAATGACAGTGACGAGGACGACGACGACGATCATGATGATAATTAATATTAAGATGCATTGATAACTGCAACCGACTTTGAGTGTAAATGTTTATTTTACCCACCACTTCGTTTCGTCAACTTGCTCAGACTGCTGGGATGAATTGTTTTGGGCATTCCATATTAAATGCGTTAAAATATTGCTGCCGATCACAAGTTAAACCCTAACGCAAAAAGTCACGGTGACAAGATGTTAGATGCAAACAGCCGCTATTGAAAGAATTTGTTCTAATTTATTTTAAATGCTAGGAAGGATAGGTACCTGTTGTTAAGTTTTTTCAACGCGTTAACCTATTTCTTACGTCACATTAACTCCCTAATCAGTATCGGCCTGTCTAACTAATATTAAAAGGGTAGTTATTTCAAACACTTTAAATAAGAGTACGTCAACCTTTTGTAACAGGCCATTCATCGTTTATTACATGTATACTTACCTTAAACTATAGTAAGTTGTTTTAGTTAAGTTTGGTGGAATGGATATACCCATACCTAAACACTTGCTTCTTAAAATCCACAGAATGACATTGAATCAAACCATGCTGTGGATCCTCATCCTTACTGCATGTGGTGTGACTCCACTCATCCGAGTAAATGGTGATGAGTTTGTATGCCACAACGTAGAATATGCTGGTCCTATAAAAGAGGTAATACAGATAAAACCAACTAAACTGGCAGAAAAGACCTCCAATGCTGCCAAGCACGTAAAGGGGCTTGCAATAGCCGTGGCTAGTGGTGTTATAGCAAAAATTCCAGTTGCAGGGAGCATACTGGGCGCGGTCTTCAAAGAACTGGCTGGGGCTTTCGGCAATAAGGGCTTACAAGCAGAAGACGTTTACAACAGTTTGAAGAAAGAAATCGACCAGCTCAAATCGTACGTGGACCAAGAAATCGATGAAGTGAAATTAGACTACATCAAGAACGCTTTTGGGACAAGCCGTGGTGGAATTCTGAGCTATGCAATGCACTGCCAGAAAACGTACCAAGGTGATGCAGATGATATTGCCCCTTGTTTGGAGAATGTAAACGCTATGTTGACCCAACAGTACCACTTCTTCATGCCATCAGACAGCCGAGTCAGTTCCTACGAGTTTTCTCTCCCTCTGTTCCGTATGTATGGAGAACTCTTTGTAGACACGCTCATGGAACAGATCGCTGTTGCAAGGAAGAGAGGAAAGGAAACTCAAGCGGCAGCAATGGCTGATACCCTGATCACAAAAGTCAAGCAACTCGAAGAGCATTACACAACTTCTTTGGTCAAAATCGCTAAACTTCACGCGGAACCTCACGTATCGACAGACAGCGGAAAAGCCGACTGTGCGCTTATCCCTTACTATAACGTCCCAATGTGTATCTGCACTTTAGCCATTGGACCCAACAAAATCAGTTCATCAGACATTAAAGATCCCGCGAAAAGCTTCAAAAATTTCTGTGTTGGAGTTTACTATGGCACGAACAGCGACGTCTGTAAAATTGCCAAGAAAGAGTATTTCGAGGGATACGCCCAGGACCATGTGCAGGCCATAAAAACCTACTGGAAGAAACAAGTTGGAGACACGGTAGAAAGTTGGACCAAGACTGCTGAAGCCGTTGAAGGATTGAGGGAGAAGGTTAAGGGGTGAGTAGGGTATAATAATTCTTCTTTTGCAGTTTTCTGTTTTTGTTTTGTTCTTCCTTTTTTCTTTTTGTTCTCGTTCCTCTTGTTCACCAACTTCAAGGAACCAATCGACAGGTAATCTGACTATAGTTTAAAAACAACTGTTATTCATGAGGTAATTATCCGTGGCTTTCCTGTTCCTACGTACGCATCCATGATTGCTAAAAGAAGGTGCTTAATCACTGTTCAACAAAGTCTTATAATACATCTTTAAGAATAATTTTCAGAGCTCTCAGCAAGAATAAACTGATAAAGCTGCTGAAAATAGTGATGACGTTAACTATTTCTTACTTTTTCTCTTTTTAATCATGTTTCAGGTCCCTTTCCTTTGAAGAAAAGATCCAGTTTGAGCGAGATGTTGCAGCCTACAAAAAACGTATCATGCAGTAGCGAGTAAAACATCGGTCGGATTTCCGGCATCGGATTATTGCAACTTTTTTTCAATCCACGTAGAGTTTGTCATGTGAAAGCAATTTGTGAATCTTTTCTTTACAGCAACGATAATCACGAATAAATGCACTGCTAACTAAACAAGGCCCGTCTTTTGATTTCTTCATGTTTGAACTTTCAGGTA